ATTTAGATTTCATATTTTCAATAGAATGAAGTTTTCATAATGAAATATAATCACAAAATTGTATCAAAAATGTACATTTGGGGGAGACAACAGTAGAACATAGTGTCACGGATTTTGACTCTGAGGCATCAAGACATGACAGAGGATTTGACCCACTATTTTTGACATGGATAGCAAGGTTAGTAGCGCCATGAGAACACAAGAGCCACATTAAAGAACAAAGGCCACAAGGGCTCGTGCAGTCCCTCTTATGAGGTCACCCAACCCTGATCAAACAAGTGTTCCTTACCTTAAAAATTTGATAGCAATTTCAACATATCTTTCTTCTTAAACTGTACGTTGTAGAATGTATGTTTTATAAAATGTCATTAAGTATACAATGAAAATAAAACCAATGCTTTGTGCTTTAAATTGGCAAATACTGTTTTCAACAGGGTTTTGTAAGCTACAGAAATTTTTTAAGCTACAGAAATTCCCAGTGCCTTTAATAACTCAATGTGTACTGTGAATCCTTGTATTATTTTAATATACAGCATTTCTACATTGATTTGCCTACAAACTCCTTTCTAGAGAGCACCAATTCACACTTCCTGCAATATTGGTGAGCAGCATTCCTGGGAAACCCTACATCTACAGTCTCAGCAACACTGCGTATGCTGGTCAGGGGCTCATGGGTTGTTATTCACTGGTACAATCAGAAAGAAGGGCCCATTACATGGTATATTAGTCTCCTATTGCCATTATAACAAAGTAGCACAAACTTTAAGTGGCTTAAAATAACACAAATACATCTTCCAGTTCTACAGGTTAGAAGTCTGACACATTGCACTGGGCTGCAATCAAGGTGCTGACAGGCTGTGTTCCCTTTTGCAGTCTCTAGGCAGAATCTGTTCCTTGCCTTTTCCAATTCTACAAGCTTCCCACATTCCTTGGCGCAATGCCCACTTCCTCTGTCTTCAAAGCCAGCAACGCTATATCCCTCTGATCATTCTTCTGTAGTTATATCTCTCTCTGATCACAGCCAACGAAAGCCTTCAGCTTTTAAAGATTCATTTTAAAGGTTCATGTGATTAGATTAGATCCACTTGGCCAGGCCAGAATAATTTTCCCATCTCAACATCATCAAAATCTCTTTTTGCCATGTAAGGTAACATAATCACAGATTCTACAGATTAGAGTTTGCATCTTTAGAGGCCCCTATTCTGCCTACCACATATTGGGTTGGTAAGGATATCTTCAGAGTTCTTGCTAGGAAACAAGTTTGAGGAGTAAGAAAGAAACGACTGTTGTCTGTGTTATCTCAACTATTCCTCATAACATCACAGTAGTAGCAGGGAAATAAAAATCACTGTCTGATTAAGGGATATAGAGTAAAAGAAAAATATGGAAGCTGTTCCCTAACATTAACAACATGGTTCTGCCAGGCGAGTTAGAACATACCTGCAAACCCAGCACTTTAGAAGCTGAGTTAGGAAGCTTGAAAGTTCAAAACGAGCTTGGGAACTTGGTAAGACTCTATCTTGAAATATAAGTGGGACTGAGCTGTGGCTACACCTCAGTTTGAAGGCACTGGGTTCAATATACAGTACCTCAAAAACAACAAACAAACAACAACAGAAGAAACTTGATTCTGTCTTCACAATATGGAATCAGATATTTCATAAACCGAACAAGCTGGCCCCTCAACAACAGGGGCTGATCCTACAGCTTTCACATTTTCCAGTAAAAGGTACATCTTCTAATGAGCTTTACTGAAATTTTCCTCACTCTAAGGATCTACCATGCATGCACTGTTTCCTGTGATGTAGGTACTGTATTGTTCCATTTACAAGAGAGAAAATGAATATATTTGTTATTTTCAGGGCTGGAGACTGAACCCAGGGCCTTGCAGATGTTGAGCACATACTCTACCACTACTGAACTCTGCCACTACTCCAGATATTTATACTCTAACACTACTCAAATACCGATACCCTGAGCTCCAGAAAGTGAATATGTTTAATAGCTGTTACTTAACAAGATCTTACTTCACCAAGCCAGTAAAAACTACACATCTCATTCCAAAGTCCGAATTCTTAATCCCATGTAATACTGCGTATTTGGTTAAAAACCTACCTCTCCTGTACTTCTTCTCCCTCCCTAGCCTCAACCCAAAGTCAGTTTGCTCCTGTGTCTCTATCCGATCTGAGAGTGAACATGTGTGGTCTCTGGGAGTGCATGTACACATGTGGTCTAGTAACTAAACACAGGTTTAGTAACTCTTTTCTTTTCTGTCATTTGTCTTTTCACAGAGGTTTATAGTTTGAATACATCCTTCTGTTTTTGATCTCAATGACATGCACACATCTAGGCCTGAGGTAGACTATTCCGTTTCTGAATACATGCTTTGGAGTCACATGTAGCTTTAAAACCTTGTTAGATAACCACCCGTAAAACACTGGCCAGATACTTAAGCATAGCTAACTTCACTCAGCCTCTTTATCTTGTGAGAGGCCAGAAATAATAACGCTGCGATAGAATCACTGTTAGGATTAAAAGAGACAATCTATGTGAAAGTACCTGATAAATAATAACCACACTATAAGCTGTCGTTGATACTATAATTCCTGGCATGCAAACTTGCATACCAATGCTAATCAAAGTTCTTGTCTCTCTGAAAGATGCTTGACAGCCCCTACTTGTATCAGTGCCGTCTGTGTGATCATCAACCACAGCTTAATTCACATTCCGTTATTACAGTGTGGTTAACACTACTCACAAAGTTTTCTTCTAAAGGCTCATGTTGCTTAAGAAACTGGAGCCTGATACTTCTTGAAATTTGCTAATCACATCTGGTTTAGCTTTAGACATTTTCTGGGATTTTGCCAGCAGCTACGACATTTTAATGGCTACAATAAACCTCAAAGCCTCATCAAATCTTTGCTGTATGTGTGAAAATTATGTCCTCTTCAATTAAACATTCAATCTCAGTTCACACCAAGGCCTTATGGAAAAGGAGGTAGAACATGAATGGGAGCGTGAGATGAAACGGACCGCCACAAATTCTGGCCATTTTGCCAGATGGTATTTAGAAGAAAAAGAAATTCATTAGAGAATCCAGGGTCTATATTTCCTTTAAATATTTACTGGGTACCTTTCATGTGTTAAAAATACTGGCATCTCTAAAGATTAGCAGGGCATTTTTGTTTAAATATTTAGTGTGTGGGAGGTGGAAGGAATTTCTTCATTTGTTTTGTGATACTTTGGGTCTTTTGGAGAAGCCCATTTGTAAGAAGGCAAATAACTGAGACAATGCTCAGTTTTGCTTCCTACCGGAGCTCTACCTGCTTCAGAAACTCTGTTTCCTTAAGACTAGCTGAGTGACGTGTCAGCTGGGCTAGGAAGACATCCAGGGTGACACTTCAGCACCTCGCTAGACAAAATAAGGTGCACGGAAGTGAAGGGCCTTGGGGAGCCCTGCTTCCCACTGCCCTCCTCAGTCACTCTTCTTATCCCCTTGCTATTTGTCATCAAACTCACAAGGATGTCACAGGGAGGCAGGCGGCCCCTGGAAGGAGAAAGGGAAAGATCAAACAGAGATCAGGTTTCTTCTCAAAACTCCACAGGAGGGGTCAGGCCTAGGGTTTTACAAGAGCAAAGAGACAGAGGAGATGAGCACTCTGGGAGGGCCTGGGGTGGGAACAACTGGGCTCTTTCCTTGTTAACACTTGCTGCCGCCCCGAGGCCAGGCCTGGGCCCATTTCTGCCAATGGAGAGGGACAGAAAACCCCTTGTACCTGATGACTTTACTCTGCTTCTATTACAACTGCTGTCAAGCGCCTCATCTTAGATAAGCATAAAGCTGTCAGTTCTTTAGGAGAGAAAATGGACTGCAAGGTCACGTGGTATTCCGGAACAGAGTATTCATTTGATCGAATTCACAGTTCCAATCACATTAGGAAAAGATAAGGCCCACATGCTCCTTTAAAAATAATTTACAAGGTAGAAACAGTCACTTGCAACCACTATCTTACTTAAGCAAATTTTATGCCTAAAGTAAAAATAAATGGCTCTCCCTGCCACCGGGGAGCAGATCTTTCCCATTTTGCTTCCATTTCCAGGCTGTTCTTTGCCTGAGCCTTAATTTTCTGAGCACTCTTTCACAATAAACATTTTAAAAATGTTTATTTTATGTCTTAGTATAAAAATATTCCTGGTTGAAACCCTTCAATTTCCTCAAGCTGTCTTTCTGGCACTCTGGCCTCCATTTCCACATTAACATGCACCCTCAACCCTCCACAGAGCTCTCGAGCTGAGTCCCGGAGCTCCTAGGCGAGTGTATTTATAGTCCTGGACAAAGAGATGTCTCCACAGCAAAAGTGCAAGACTCCAGAAATGCCAAAGGAAAATTCCTGCCCAAGCAAGACTTCACTGTTCAAAGAGCCAAAGGGGGTTTCAGCATTTTGTTTTCTATAATTAAAAACTAAAGTTAACTGAAATAAGAGGGTTACTGTATGTTACATCATCATAAATATATGTCAAGAAGCAAAGTAAACTGGTTAAGAAAATGCACGAGTTCTAATTGGGTAGACCTGGTTAGAGGTAGGTACCTGTTACTAACTCCATGAACAAAACTTGTCTAAACTTCATTTTTCTCATCTGTAAAATGGAGTTAATGTGGTTCCTGCCTGACAGTGGTCTTATAAGAATGACAGGAAAAATACTATGCTCTTAATAAAAGGTTCTTGCTATTATAATAAAGTTGTAAATACTGAATGCCAATACAACAAGATATAGACATAATAAACAAATGATCAACCAGTATTAGTAAAGGAGAGGGATGCATAAACTCAGTGCCTCCAAACAATGCTCAGAGGAAGAAAGTTCCAGGAGGGTCACAGTGGAAGTTTCATGAAGTCTGTACCAATTCTACTCTGTGAGCCAGATGTAGCTAATCCTCTAAAAGCTATTTTAAAAAAGTAGTCTTAGCTATTGTCTAATAAAAGAATGGTTTCTATTACCTTCTAGTTGCTTCTTCAGTTTTTTCAAATCTTCACTGAGATCTTCAAACTTGACTTGGGAGGCCAGAAAGAAATCTTGGGGTTCAGGTAGGGGAAAGACACTCTTTTCTGTTCCAGCTTCCTAAAAGATACAGTAAACAAAAGTATATTCTACTTCCCAATTATCACTTTCAGTTGAAATTCCAAATGATCAGATTGGGGGAAAATGTTTTAAATTCCATGTATAAATAAGAATCATCACAACCCTTGTCTCCTGCCCCTAAATGTGGACTTGCTACGTGGAAGCATTGCCATCTTTCACAGTACTGTTTGGTGTCCTGGCACCAAGGTTAGCTATATGGCCATGGCATGGACTACATTCTGTCTTGCCCTTATGAATCAAAGAGAAAACCGTCAGAGATGTCTTGATCTTGAATACTACTCGCACGGAAAAAAGCATAGGTAGAACAGATGAAAGTACTTAAAGTCCCTGCCTGAGTCACTCCATGTTAGGATTTAGATAACTCACCCATGATTTATGCAAATGGGTATGAACTGGGCAAAGGTGGTGCTACGGTAGAAGATGCAATCGCATTCCCTGTACCTTTACCAGCCTTTCTGTGTAGGTTAAAGCACTGCGGGTGAGTGTGTGCATGATCAAATTCTTCCTGTACTTGCAAGGATTTTCCAAATGTTGAATGGCTTATCTTAGAAGATATTTACCGAGGGCATGTTTAGGTACGACTTTAACAAACTCTACAGCTAAACCTGACAAAGGACTTCGTCTGAGAAATGTTTTAAGGGACAAAACCTTCTGGCACACTGAAACATAAGCTAAGCTGCAAATATCTTCTGCAGCCTAGCTTGCCTTCTCTCTGAGTTGTTTAATGTAAGCTTTGTGCCTTGCATATCTGAGGCGGTGTTCGGTTATTCCTCTCCACACACACTACTTTGCCAGCTTTCCTTCACATTCCATCTTTCCTACTGCCATTAGGACTAATTCCAAGCTCTAAAATTGCTTTACAAGGCACTTTATGATTTGGCTTCTGTCTCCATCTACAGCCTTATTTCTACCTCCCCCATCTCCAACTCCCTTTCCTAAACCTTTGTTAAACAGCAAAACAGGCCACTGTCTCTCACCTCTATGCCTTTGTCTACAAAATTATTCTCTTTCCAACCCCTCCCTAGAGACTCTTCACAACTCCTTGTTTGTAGTCATCCTTTAATCTCAAAACAAATGTCACTTCTGCAAAGGTTTCCTCTGACTCCCAGCCTTTAAATGTTTGTCCTGTAGGAGCTCCTGATATGGACATTATTGCTGTATTCATTCTACTAATTTCAAAATTGCTGGTGTTGGCTCATATGTCTTCCCCATCAGACTATAAACACCTCAAAGGAAGGAACCAAGCCTTGTCCAAGGTATGATGTATAGCGGCTGAGATATCCATACACTCTGTTTTTGGGTGGTGCATAACATTACAGACAACCTACGAAACACTGTTTTCTAAAGTTGGTACCTTTAGCTGCAGACATCTAGTTTTTTATCATATTTTTCTCATGGTTTCACAAATTCCCTGGACTTTCCCCTTCCTTTAAGCCACTTAGCTTTACTTGGGATGCTAGGAGAAGAAACTCTCCTTATTTTATTAAGACATGAGATTTTGGGTTTTTTTTTTTTTTTTTTTAAGAAACTCTCCTTATTTTATTAAGACATGAGATTTTGGGTTTTTTTTTTTTTTTTTTCCTTCTAATCTTCCTACACTTATTCTGCTAGCTGAAAATCAATGGAATCAATACCCTAGGCTGAGTAAAGATGGAACATCTAAGGCACCATAGCAAACCCCCGTGGTCACCCATACTGGAAGAACTCAGGCATAGAACTGTATGTTTCTCACCTCCAAACTGTTTATCTGACTCAGCCCTACTTTCCATTCTTTTTTAAAATTAGAAAAAGAGAAAATGCTGCTGAGAAAATCAGCCTAACAGCAGCTCTTGTGAAAGCTGTTCAATTGGAATTCAAAGACATAACTTTGAATGGATTTCCCTAACCTCCACAGACCAGACCTGGACATAATGCCAGGCATGAAGCACAGGAAGCTCGGCGCAGAAGCCACCTTTCTTCAGCTAATTGCTCATCACCACTAACCACAAAAATCATCACTTATGTTCTTTGGGGAAAAGGCCAGCTTCATAAATCACATAATTTCACACTCTTGCTGAGTGAAATGTATTTTGCACAATGAAAGCCAGGAAAGAACTACACAAAGGTGGACTTTTTATTTTTCCTACACTGGGCCTATCCCATATTTGCAACTATCCTTATAAGTTTTTCCTCCATAAAATAAATTCCAATGGGCTCTGGTCTCTTCAATGACAGTCATGTAGCACAAATAAAATTTCAACCTTTCTAAACAATGTATTTCACAGGCAGAAACTACCCATGCCATGTCAAGTGAGGGGTAGACATGTTACCTTTAAGGTTCTTTAGGATAATTCTTCTGCTACACTGTATCTGTTGTCAGACCCAGAGAAAAATATATATCTAGATATATCTATATCTAGATATATATCTACATAGATATATGTAGATATATATCTATCTAGATAGACAGATAGACAGATAGATAGATGGATAGATAGATAGATAGATAGATAGATAGATAGATAGATAGATAGATAGATATAGATATATCTCAGTTCACGCACTTGATTCTTTCCATAATTCTGGTCAAATCCAATGGATGCTGATCTTATGAGGAAATCTGATTCAGTTTTTGTCTAGTTTAGTGTGTAACCAGAAGCATGGAGAGATCGAGTTCATCAACTCAATTGCTGCTTCTAAATTTCCTAGAGCTCTTTATGTCTTCCTTGCTCCAACATTAGCCATCAACTCCTTACATTTAGTTCTTTACAAGAATCATTCATTACACTCCTGTGGATATTTACATCTAATGCAGTGAGGACTTATTGGAACCTGCATTACAGACACTAAAAAGGAGACAGCAATGAATTTGACAACCCATGGGGAAATGCCAAGATCATTGGTGGCTGCCGGTATTATGTACAGACAAAGCAACAGAAGATGAGCTGTGAGAGATTCAAACGAAGTATGTTCTTGCTTCAGAAGTGAGGGCTTCAAAGATACCCTACAAAAGTCAGGATAGAACCAAAACTTCATGGAACAAGGATTATGTAAAATTGGACTATGTTATTTTTTTATTAGCTCCTTTTATCCATTTTACAAAAGTGATATGGGTTCATTACGTTTAGTTACTCAAAGAAAATTTTAATAATTCATTCTTTTAATCCTAACATCCTGAAAAATTTCTTATACACACTTTTCATAGTAGTATGTTGTTCTGTTGTATGACTGACATCATTTATTCCACCTTAGTCCCTATCACTGGATACCTATTAAAATTTTCCAGTATTTTGCTATTCCCAATTTTTGTAAGTAGAATAGTGATACAAGTGCTCACTTATTTCCTAAGGATGAAAATTCCTAGAAAAGTTATGTATATTTCTATGGTTTCTGATACAATGAGCTCAGAACTAGCATGTCCATATGAATTAGGAAAATGGGTCCCCTTTGGGTCGGCAAATAGCTTGACAAGCACATGGCATCTTCATGTGGATTTTCTAAAAAGCCCCATGTATAAGAGATACAGTTTGGTGAGTTGAGGTCGGGCTAGGGCTGAGTTCCTTTCACCTAGCAACTGTAAACAGAGATAACCTGGTGAATTATACATGGCAGTCTTGAGAAAGATGTGATCAACATATACCGCCAATTCCATATCTAGGTGGTGATTTATAGCTTCTATTTCTCCTATAAATTACCTGTTGTGCCTCTTGTCATTTTTTTTTCAAAAGGACAAGTTATCTCATTCTTACTAACTCTAAAGAACTTGTCTCTTATATTGTGAATATTTTCCTCAGTATATTACTTAGAAATGAGTTTTCTTAAGTCATTTTTGAGATGCTGAAATTTTTAAATATTTTAATTAGGAATTGGAGGAGGTTTTTTTTGTTTGTTTTGTTTTTACTTTTCTGCATTTGAAGTTATCATTCTTGCTTTTGTTGTTTCTACTTTGAGGGGTAACCCACTCCAGCCCCCTTCTGTCCCTGTATGGGACAGAAGCTTTCTTGCCCTCAATAAATATATTCTGCTATTGTTTCTGCTTTGAAAGCACTTTGCTACTCAAAATCAAAAATCTATCTACATACATTTTCTTACATCCTTTTATGATTTCATTTTTTGTTTGTTTTTACATTTAACTATTCTTTAGAAATTTATTTTGGTCGCTGGTACAAGGTAGAGGACATCATTTAATATTTTCTTCTCTGTAATTACTTGAAATTAGTTGCTTATCTCATACTTAACACATTAACTTAGATCCGTTTCTGAGATTTCCTTTCCATGTTCTTGAATTATTGATCTACTAATCAAACAATAATTATTATAGCTTTGTAATATTCTTATTTTTAAATCCTGATAAAATTTTACAATTATTCTCACACATAATATTTAAAATCATTGTGTTAATTTCTAAGATTGACTGAAATTTTAACTAGTATTTTCCACTAGAGTACATGTTACTTTTAAAAAGTGCAGTAAAAAAACCCATATGTAACACAGATTTATTCTCTTAACTTTCTATGAGTACAGCAGTATACTGCTGACTGTAAGAGCAATGTTGTACTGCACATCTCTAGGACTTTTTCACCTTGCGTGACTGAACCCAGATATCCATTAAACATTAATTCCTCTTTTCCATCTTCCCCTCATACCTGCCAGCTACCAGTCTACTTTTTATTCCTTTGAGTTTGAGTACTTCAGGCACTTTTATAAAAGAACTGTGTACTATTTGTGTTTCTGTAATTGGATTACTTTCTTCTTAGTATAATGTTCTCAAAGTTGATCCATATTATAGCATAAGACAGGATTTCCTTCTTTTTTGTAATTGAATAATAGTCCACAGTTTCTCCAGCTATTCATCTGTGGATATTTAGACTATTTCTGAATTTTGGCTTATTTTTAATAATGTTGCAAGAAGCACAAAAGTGCAGCTATGTCTTTGTTTTGGATAAAAACACAAAAGTAACACTGCTAGATCATGTAGTGGTCCTACTGTTAATATTTTGAGGAAACTATATTATTTTCTGTAGTGTTTTTAACATGTTACTTTCCTATCAACCATGCTCAAGGATTCCAGTCTTCACATCTTTGCTGACATTTATTTTCTGCTTTTTTAAAAGTAGTGTCTATCTGAACAGATGTGAGGTTGCTACCACACTGTGGTTTTAATTTGCAATTCCCTGTTCATTAATGATGTTGAGTTTCTCTGCATGCACTTGTTGACATTTGGATGTCTTTTTCTTTTTGCTTCCCTTTACATGCTTAAGTTCTTCTTGTGACTTTCAGTAAAATTATGTAACTTTCTTCAAAAGGGTCTGTGCTTTTCTAGGTAAATCTGTAATGCATATATTATTATATCATTGACATAGACCGTCATTGGGAGTTTTCTCTGAAAAGATCTTTAAATTTATTATTTCTGGAGAGGATAATAAGATGAAAGGGAAGCTTTATATAACAGCTGGAGACTAAAATAGTTCCAGGTAAGGAGAACATCAAAAGTGAAAACATGTTAGTAAGCAAACACAGCGTGTGTTTGGAAAACATCAGGTCTTGGGTTGGATCACAGAACATGTGTATAGGGAAAGTTAAAAAAACCATGGTTATAAAAGATGGGAATTAAATTGGGTAGCATCTTAATTCATTTGAAAATGGGAGTCTTTCCCGTTTTGAGTTAAAAAAGAAAAGTGATATCAGAACCACATGGCAAGAGGGTGTGGGACGGTACACGGTCGTGCTACCCAGAAGTTCAGAGATGAGCTAGAAAGTGCTGCATTCTCCATGTCAGCGGCCTTAAAGCCACAGTCATCTGGCATGAGTAGGAAAGAAAAATATAGAAAAATAGTGGAAATGAATTAGTTGAAGGACAGAGAAGAACCAAAAAGGAACACACAGCTTTCACGCCTGAATGACCATAATTTATGGTAGCCTTGCTAGAAGTAGGGAAGAAATGTGGTGGGGTGGGTGGGGGAGGTGAGCCTGATTGTAGATTCATTCAGAACAGATAAGTCCACAGTGAGGGTGGGGGAGGTGGGAAGGAAAAATAATTCAAGAGTTCATGAGTGTTTAGCTTGTGTGCTGGGTGGAATTGTAGGCCTTCTGAAAACAAGGCCCTGGATTTTTATTTGTTGTCTTCAGTGTGTGGTAAATACTGCTCCCATAGCTAGCTAGGGTGAGTCCTGACAATATCTTCCTTTAAGACTTTCTCTGTTAGTATGGATTGCTATATTTCTCAACAACTTCACAATAAACCTTCTTTTCTTCTCAAAGTTTGGGCTCCTTGTTCCCACTTTAACAAGAAGGAATGAAATAAAATCCACTTATGCTCAGGTGGATTCTCACAAAAATGTTTACTTCTCTCACAAATATAATCTAAGCAGAGAAGATATTTTTCTCGAAATCTATGTCTCTTGTCTCCAACTTGGTCCTAGAGGCATCACTGTACAATTGTGTTACTGTAGCTTAGTGCCTAAATTTTTTTCTGTAGCTCTGAATCCATTTGCAGCTGAAACCAATTTGCTCAGTGGATCTAGAGCTCCTCACAATCTGGCCAGATCATACCAATGCAACGCGAGTTCTCTCTGAAGCTATGGTATATGGTGATTGAGAATCAATAGATTTGTAACACTGAATAATGCTTCCCTTTGTAAAAGTCAAGTGTACTCTTGGTATCAGAGTTCTCATCAGTAAACCATGGAGTTTGGAGAGCGCTCATATTCTGTGTTGGACTTGAAATCCTTCCATCCATCTGTCATCCAACTGCAGAATGCCAAGAATGAGTAAGAGTTGAAACCCATTAATGCAGTTTCCCACATAATGCCATTTCCTACCTGATCATAGTAACGCAGGTAATATTTCACAACATAGTCCACCAGATTCATTCCATTATCCTAGGTTTAAAGAGAAACTCAAATGACAATTGTTCACATGAGGCATGTAAAAAAGTTGAGAGCTGAAATCTCAGCTCACACTTTCAGTTCATGAGACCTGGTCCTCTTTCTGTTTAAGACTGGCAAAATTTTCCTCCCTTGTCCTGGTCCCATCTATTTTTTTTTTTTTTTTTTAATGAAAGCTCTACAAAGAAATGATACTTTGCTGTCCTTTGTGGTGGGGGGGGCAGATAATTCATAGGATCTCTGAGATAAATGCTGAAACAAACAAATAAAAAAAATGTTGCCTAATATTTTCTGGCAGAGAACCAAGATAGGAGAGGGTGGGGAGTGCTAAAGGAAACTAGGAAACAGAACAGAAAACCATCCCTACCTTCCTATACCTTTCAAAAAATGTGTGTTCTTAATGGCAATCAGGGCCAGCATAAAAGGAGAGCCATGCCACTTTATGACCCTGGGAGGCCAGAGGCGAGCAGGCCCTCCCACAAGGCAGCCTTTGTGTCCTGCTCACAGGGGTCTAATTCTATTCTCCAGTGTGTTTCCCCTCTCTCCAACCCCTGTTCCCTGTGGGACCCCCAGATATGGGCCGCTTGTTTCTAAAGAAGTAGCCCTGCAGGGGTGTGGAGCCAAATGATAATCAGGCTCAGAGAGTTTGACAGTAGACCTGAACCCAATTGTTGTGGCAAAAGAATAATTCAAATGCTAAGCTCAACTGGTGACTCAGCAGTCCTCCCACTCCAGACAGTAAGTTATAAGTAGCCAACACTCAGCTCAAATGGACTCCAGCATTATATGCTGTCTTCTCTCTCAGTATTTAACCAAGTATGTTAGAAGAAAAAAAGATTGGAGATTATGTGACTGAAAAGCAAGTCTAATATGAAAAACCTATCTGTGTCCAAAAGTCAAAAGAACCCAAAGAAAAAAATGCATGCTGTTCAATAAATAATTATTGCTAGAGGAAAGACAGGGATAAGAGTAATGATCTGGAATACTATTTTTGTAAGAAAAATTTAAGATATAGAAGGAAAATAATGGCAGGCCATGCATAGAAACTTATTATGAAAAATAAATACCCGACTTTTGACGTCCTTGAGTTTGGGCAGGATTTCTAAGCTATATCCATCTGCTTGACCCCGAGTCCTATTTCCTCCATTCATATAATTTCCAAAAGCCAGAATGATAGCTAAGATATCTTTCACACTCTTCATGTGCAGCAAGCCCTGTGACAGCAAATACAGATTATTAAGGTCTTAACTCCTAATATACTCATGCTCATTCAACAACAAATACTTACTGAGTACCTGGACAGACTATTTGGTGGCTTTTAATCAATAGGACTAACAGATAATGAATCAAAAGATATACTTTACTTAGCAATATGTGTCTTTAAAAAATTAATAGCCATCATTTTCTACCCATGCAACAAAATTATAACTAGTACATGTTCTAGTAGTGAGGGTTAAATCTTTGTGTTTATATTTCCTTTTGTGCCACTTTTATTTTTAGTACTTTAAAGTGTTCATAAATTGATGAAAGGGAGCTGATATATTTAGGCATAACCTTAATGACTTTTGGCTAGAAAGAAATTCACTATGTCCCTCAGACAAAAGCCTTCTATCTAGAACATATAAAGAATTAAAAAATTTCAGCCCCTCCAAATTCAAAGACCCAATCCAAAAATGGGCAGCTGAGATGAATACACACTTCTCAGACAAGGAGATACAAATGGCAAATAAATATATGAGAAAATGTTCAACATCATTAGTCATTCGAGAAATGCAAATTAAAACAACATTGAGATTCCACCTTACCCCAGTAAGAATGGCTAGCATTAAGAAATCAACCAATAACAAATGCTGGCGAGGCTGTGGAGAAATAGGAACCCTTCTCCACTGCTGGTGGGAAAGCAGACTGGTGAAACCACTGTGGAAATCAGTTTGGAGATTCCTCCGAAAACTAGGCCTAGAGGTCCCATTCAACGCAGCTATCCCCCTGCTTGGTATTTTCCCAGAAGATCTAAAAACATATCACAGTGATGTATGTGCACCCATGTTCATAGCAGCACAATTTGTAATTGCTAAAATGTGGAAGCAACCCAAATGTCCATCCACTGAGGATTGGATAAGAAAATTGTGGTACTTTTATAGAATGGAATATTACTCAGCTGTAAAGAAAGATAAACTCGAGGCTTTTATAGGCAAATGGTCACAACTAGAGACCATACTCATAAGCAAAATAAATCAAACATACATGTGCAAGCACCGCATTGTTTCTCTAGTGTAAAGCCTGAAAGAGTTAATTTAATCTAGGAGATATGATAGACATTGTGAATTGATAGGAAAGCACTCATAGGTAAAGGATAACTGGGATATGGGAAAAGAGAAGGGAAAGAAGGAGAAAGTTTGTATATATATGTATATGCAGGATAGTTAACACGGGTGTTCTACTGTCCTGTATTTCCTTGCTGAAAGAAACTGTCAGTGAGGCATTGGTTGATTAGCTTTGTATGTCTATATGTGTTTTCATGAGAAACTACATTGAAGATATCAATATGTAATACAATAAGCATTGTTAATTCCCTACCACTCTGTTTGTAACTCTGTAATGTCTGTATTGATCCTATGCTATTTTGTAAAATGTTGTCGGTCTGTTAGTATTTTCCTCCTTTTATTTCTAAAATAAAAAAAAAAATTCACTATCTTTTCAGGATCTGTTTTGGAACTATACATCTCTATAGAGTACAGTTAAATATAGAGTAGACATAATAGCAAGTACAATTTTCAGAGGTAAATTACAGTAATGCATTTCAAGGTCATAGATGATTTTTGTTAAGTGTCTGCTGTATGTCTAGTGACTTTTACAATATTGAGCTGCTAGGGATTTTCTTGAGCTCACCATCTCATTCACTTTTCCCCTCTCTTTTATTTTTTTTCAACTGCAAATTCTCAAATAGAAAATCTGTGCAGAATTAGCGGCCTTTATTTTCTTTTATCTTAGGATAAAGAAAGAAAACAAAATTCAACTTCAATCAGACTTTTGCTCTTCAATTTAGGTATTATTTGTGGGATTATGCTATCCTTTGGTAATATTTATACTTTTTTATTGAAATCTCATATCTAATAGGTGAAAAACATACCTCAAGATAGAGAATTGAGTACTACAGCATTTGTGGAGAAGAATGTCATATTCTTCAGAATATAGGTCATTTCATGAAAAAGGCCAACGGGTAGGCTTTACATTGCACACTGTGTTCTAAAGTCAGTGGAAATTTATGCACCAGTCTCCAATTATCACAATCAATTATTTCATTTTTATCTCTAGAGTTCTTTGATTTAGCTATGGAGACATATTTCAGATAATCAAGTACATGATTCTCAAGCAAAATATACTTAGAATTTGGAAAGATAAACAGGAAACAAAGTATGCTATTTAGATTGGTTTTGTAGTAGCCAGTCTGTATACTACAAGATATTCAGAAATTTGTTAGACGAAATCTGTAAAAGTATCATTTTTTTCTTATTTAGTTTGCGGCTGTTCTTCTCCCCTGTTCTCTCCCACTTATACACACACGCACAAACACACACACTTACACACAGAGGCAGGACAGCTATCATATTTACCCTTAGGAAAAGGACACAGTCTAAAGTACAAGAAGTTTTCTATGAGGGATTTGGTGGTTTTTCCCATTTCCAGCTTTCTCCTTTATCCCAATAAGTGTAAGAGTAATCTTGCAAACTGTATATAGCAGTCATACCTTAGAAGCTCGTGTGACAATGTCTACCTTCAGGTGCAAAGAGGTGACACCTTCAGAAAAAACAGACCTGAAGATGATGCATTGGGCACGCTCAGCAAAATTAGGGATCTGGGCTAACTCATGCAAAAATCTGTAAAAATGAAAACAAAAATACATTATTTTACTTTATATTTAGTCAGAAAAATAATAAAGAGAGTTAATAAAGGTTCACTAGGACAGCATTCCTAATTTAACAATTATTAAAAGTATCAGACAGGCTGATTCAAAAAATCCTAAGAGTATATGTCCTATTGTTGACAACAGAGCCACTGTCTTAGGGGTTTCTGGGATGCTGAACAAATGCATACTGATACATTACTTTAGGAACAGAAGGTTTGTGCAAGAATGTTAGCTATCTATTTCCTGTTGCCCAAACAAGAGACTACACTCACATGGAAAGACAGTCTTTAGCATATGAAAAATAAACTTCCCTCTAATAAAATGTTTGCTAAAGGTGCATTAACGAGCTAAGCAAGATGAAGATTTCAGCAAAATACATGCAATGAAATGATAAAAATTCTCATACTGAATTGAGTTTGCTACTGTTTTTGCTCAATTACATAATCATCTATAATGACCAATTTCTCAACGCATTTGTTTACTCTTCATATTAACTTACACACAGACACATTTCATAGCTCAGTACTTGGAATGAAGTATACACTCAAGTAGACAACCTAAAGTTTCTTTTAAAATATGGCAAGGCAGATCCTGAAGGCTAAATGTGAGTACTGACCGACACACAGTAGCTCACTGTCTGAGCAGCTGGGCACTGATGTCCTCTGCAAAATTAAGTTGGAAAAGCTACATACTCTTCAGGCCAACCCCAGAGGAAAGGGTATAAACTAAAATGGGTGGAAATAGTTGGATAAGAATTCCAAAAAGCAGAGAATCCACTAACAGCCTTTAATTTCATTTTGGAGTAAAAACGATGATTAACTGATATTTCTGAAAGTCTTGGTGAGCTCATAACATCGTTACCTTGATATTTTGCAATCCTTCACCAAGAATGCTTCTACAGAGGAGAACACTGGAGCATATATCTTTCTCCATCTCCCTAAAATTTTCTTGCCTAATACTCTGTGCCTTCTGTACCTTTTGGAAAATTTGGATTTTACTGTCTTTCTAATTATCAGCTGCTTTTCTAAATTATTCTGCAACTAGGTAATAATCCTCTCCTCTGCCTCTTAAAAATGGTATTGAGGTGAAGCAAAGAAGACTCATAAACAAAAACACACTCTTGTTTTACAGTTCTATACCTCTGATTCTTATGAAAAATCCAATGATGGAATATAAAATCGCAGAAATTCTGAACTGGAACAAAATGAAAAAAATTACACTGTGTAAACTGTTTCTTCATAAATATAATATAACATTATTAGACAATTGATATATTTATCGTAACTAACATCAGGACTATATAACCAGTGCACACAAATATATGAGAACTGGAAAAGTCATACGAATAGCAGCCTTTGGTCCTGTGATGACTGTGTTCCCATTTATTTACTCAAATGCTGAGACCTAACTCCATAATATGCACTTGTATTGCTTGAAATGAACATAGTAATGAAGCAGTTTAGAAGACCACATGGGGGAATAAACGGATCAGCCCCTCAACTCATCCATACATGGATGCAAAGCAGCCAGAGCCAGATGAACAGTACCATGTCAAAGAGGAGCATTAGAACAAAAGGAGGAAGCAAGACCATAGGCTCATTAATTTATGCCACTCAGGAAAGAGAAAATAAAACTGCAAGGCTCTTTAAGATTAAAACTTTACTGGGATTTAGACTGGGCATGGGAAAGTTCTCAAATAAGGTGAAAGTCCCAGTACCTTCTATGTGGTGAGGAGTTTGGAAAAAGATATAGAGTTAGAGAGGAGAGGGAAAGTTGAAGGATTTTATATTCCTTTTGGGTAGAACTATATCACCGACAATTAGTACAAGTGCATCAGCCATTCAGAACGTCACTCAGTCCTTTAGGTGTGTATGAAGCATTTACAGTGTCAGACATCACACTGAAACTTGGAATATGATTTATCTTGCATGCAATTCTTTCTGCACCCGTAGGAAATAAACCAGTGAGCACTGTGAAGTGTGACAAGTGCTGCCAGTGACACGAAGCCACTGTGGGACACTCACATCAGACCCATAGAGGAGTGTGATGTGCTGGGCTTCCTGGAGGCCCGTCATCCTTGTACATAGCTGTAAGAAGCTGCCAGGGAATCCGAGACAGGTTGAATGACATCTATAGGGACCTGAGCAGAAGACAGTGCTACCATGGAGTTTTATGTTCTAAAACAAACATTTTGAACTTTTTCTGATGAATAAAAATTTTAAATAAAGCAGCTTTTCATTTGAGACCATCATCTTGATAGTGAGTTGGCTGAGTAGAGATGGCAGCAGATTCAAGACTGGGAAACCTGTTGGGGCACTGGCATAGTCCTCCAAGGGAGCAGGTAAAATGGCCTTCAGGGAATGTACAGGGGAATGGATGAGACAACTACTAGGGCAGCATGGCTCAGATAAGTGCCTAACCCCATGGACATACTCTTTCAGCAGCACATGTACTAAAATCCCCATGAACGTTGGAAAGAGTTCAGGGTGACTTGTGAGGTTCTGGCTTGGATATATTTGATAGAATATGAAAATACAAAATATTAGGGAAGCAAATTTGGAAAAAATGTTTTTATGTCATTTTTCTATTCAAAATCAGCCATTCAAAGGCTTGAAGAAAAACAATACAACTCTTAAACAGGCTACTTTGAAGGCTATGGAAAGCAAGTATCTAATGAATCTCTCCCTCCCAACTGTGTTCTGCATATATGGGTATGGGCAGTAACCCTTTTCCATACACTCAGGCATATAGTCTTATGCCTAAGTACTGATATTTACAAATATCCCTAGACCACTTTCCTTTTGGGCTAGTGAACCTTTACACTTTTTTTTTTCCATAAGAGAATACTAAAGAAGCCTCCTTCTTTCTCCAGTGGAGGCTTATTTTTGATAAAGGATTAAAACTTTCATTTACATGTATAAGTAAGAGAAGTTCTGTGTCTTACAGCATGTATGTTATACATCTACAGTAGTAACTCAACTGGAATGATGCTATGTGGCCATTGCTTCAAAGAGATTAACATGTGGTTTATCATCATCCACTAAATCCCTCAACAGCATTAGCTAAAGTGCACGTGCATGCAGGAGCTGTATACATAGTACATTTTCATGTTGTAGCCTGTGCTTTCTAGGCAGAAATACTACTGGATCCTAGTTTGTGGAAGTCCAAGGTGGATGCAGATCTGAGGAGAAATCCCAAGAGGCATCCTTATCGTAGGCCAGGGCAGGCACACATCGGGCCTGCTCAACACAGTGGAGCCTCGCCACCTCACCACCATCTCAGAGCAGGACAGCAAGGAGGAAAGGGCCATTCTTAGAGGGTGTGGCTCTCAGACAGCCAAGTCCCAAGTAGAGGACACCTCTGAGTCAAATGGCTTTCTAAATCTGGCACCAGGGTGTAAGAGAGTTGATGAGGTGAGTGATGAGGCCAGCCTGATTTACAGGACTGGGCACCACAAGATTCTTAGGAAAAATTGCGATGCTAAACTATAAATGATTCATATTTTCCAGTATGTAAAACATGCTTATAGTCCGCTCACTTAGAGTAAATGGCAAGTAAGTTTCCAGAGACTCTGGCACAAATCAAACAAATGCTGAATTGTGTAGGAGGTCAAGAGGAGTGGTGAAATTCACTCGGGCCCAAGCGCCCTCATCTCTCTATGCCGAAGCACATCACCAGGACAATGTGACAGTCCATAACAGCTGTCACAGTAACAGCTGCTCAGTAACAGCTGTGAGTATTCAAGAAATCACCAAGAAGATCATTTACAAACTTTTCTAGTTAGATCATCAGTAGGCGAAAAAGGGAACAATAAGCTATCTTTTAATTACCTGCCAGCATTATCCTATGTCCCAGCAATAATGCGGTAATAACGGACAGAAAAGAGAACTGCTTCCCATCGAAGAAACACACAGTCGCTCTTCAACCATTCATTCTACCCAGTGAGCCACTCCCAAAGCTCATAGCAGGTTTTGCTGAGTGGGAAAGGATTTGGCAAATTATAGCCTATATACCTGGCTATTTGTTTTTATATGCACTGTGAATTAAGAATGGCTTTTCTGTTTTTAAATGACTGAAAAATGTATCAATAAAAGGATAACAATTTATGACATGTGAACATGGTGTGAAATTCAAATTTCAACATTCCTAAATAAAATTGCATTTGCACACAGCCACGTCTATTTGCCTACACACTATCTATGTTACTTCTGCACTACAGTGGCTGAGTTGAGTAGTTACAATAGCTCCTTTGACTCACAGAGCCTAAAATACATGCTATCTGGTTCTTTATAGGAGAAGTTTGCCAACTCCAGGCTCAGAGTTGTGTTTCACCAAACACTGTGGCATAACTAGCCCTATCTAAATGCTAGACATGTCCTAACTAGATACCTTCTATGCCCTGGTATCTAAATATTGTATTATTAGTCATTTAACTTTTAGTCATTAACACTTTACCAGGAGTTAACTGCTGTTATCAGGGAACAGGGCTTGGGAACAAGCTGCAGGATCAGCTGGAGTGGGAGCTGGCAAGTGAGGAAAGTGGCATAAAATGGAGGAGTAGAAGGGCAGTGGATCCCACTGGAATGGATTCACAAAATTCTTGGGCTTTGTGAACTATCTCTGGAGGAAGTGGGTCCTGGCTTAGACGCCCATGAGATAAACTCATGTAAGGTTCTAAAACCACCAAGAAGTTTTTCAGTAACTGAGTGTGTTGGTTTGGAGCTTAGTTTTGCAAGGGAGAACAATATAATACAGGACACATGTTTTATAAGATTATTTATAACAGTCATCCAAAGATATACAAAAGAGTGCAGGAAATCTGTCCACAAACTATAGACCAAGGAATCTAGCCAAGGGCCTGGATCCCAAGACAGTGTCCTACATGAGTCCAGCCAAAAACCTAGAGCTCATAACAAGGCCTCCCATGAGTCCACCTGGAGGCCTAGAGCCCATAACAATATCTCATGCAGGCCTGTTTCACGAATCTGCACTGCGAAGGCCCAAAGATCAGTGGTGGAATCTAGGAAGTCTGTGCCAGCGGGATGAAGGATCTGTGCTGGCAGGCTGAGGGATCTGCATTGGAACCAGGAAGCGACGCTCAGAAGAACCAGAGCTCCCCTGAAAGGTACCACAGCCACCCTCAGCAACAGTGAGGTCGCGAGCTCCTCTGATGATCAAGATGGCCAAGTTCCCATCAGGGAAACTAACACAGCAAGCTTCTTCAGGAGCCTAAGCTGTGCACTTTCTTTCCCCGCGGAGCCAGGAAGCAATGCTCAAAGTGAGGACCAAAGCTCCCCCAAAGTGAACCAAAGCCATTCTCAGTGCCAACAATGTCCTGAGCTCCTCGCAGGATGAAAACAGCCAAGTTCATCAGGAAAGCCAGCATGACAAACTCCTCCAACAGAACCAACAGCTCCTTACAGCTTCCACCAGCTCCAACAGCCTTTCTCCGCTCCCAACAGCCTTAACTTTTCCTTCTCCAGTTCTGCCTCTTATGCTGCTGGCAACAATCCCCAGGTGGGCCTCCCACACCCGGCACCACGCTTACTCAGTTCAGCTGGGGGTTATAGTTGACGACCAGTTATCAATCCGCTACACTGAGCAAAACTAAGCATCACTCTCCATCCACATTCCACTCATTTATAGTGATGTTTTCTGGGCCTGAACACCCAGGCATCCCAGAGGACCCAAGCACAAGACTTGGAGGCTACAGTCCAAGCTGTAGACTCTTGGATGTCTATAGGGCTTGACTTGTTACACTGCATCTGATCACTTCATTTCCTATTTGTTTTCTACACTTGCCTTGTCACTAGGTTGAGAGGCTGGCCTGAACAGGATGAGAAGCATTCAAGATAGCAACAGGTAACACAGTAGCTGTCCACTCTGAACCCATTCTACATTTGCAAAACCTGGAGCGAAAAGCCACGTCAAGGACAAGAGTCACTCAGTTATACAACAGAGCTCCAGATATCCAAAGCATGTGCAACAACAGCCTAAATCACAGAGCAAACAACTCTAGGCAGTGGGTAGAGAGAAGAGCAAGGCTATGCAGAGCGAGAAGGAGAAAGTTACACCTAACTTGGAACAGAGCAAGCGGAGAAGTCTGTGGCAACACTGGCACATTAAGTCCACATTTACACAACGTGACATTTAAGAAAATCAGTTTCAATTCTATGACTCTGATATCATCTTTTTCACTGCATCAGCAAAACCTAAACAGAGTAATGCCTTCTTTCTTCCTCAGTTACCCTTTTGGCTAAAATATTTAGTCTAGGAGGAATTAACAAGTTGTTAGAAAAAGAAAGGAGAATAGTGTGGGGTCAGAGAAGGCGGGTGTGAAATGCACTGTTATCCAGCAAATCTCATTGCTGCTTTCCCGGCAGCCGGGTCATTCTTCTGTATGCAATAGGTCACTAGAATGACGGTATTGTGATTTAGCTCACTGCACAGTTTAGACTTGGATAGCTAAATCAGGGAATCAAGATTATGGTTCTCCTTTCAGCCTAACAGAAAAGTGTTCAGGTATCCTTACTGCTCAGGTTTATCCAGTAGCTTCAATTCTTCTTCTTTGGATGTCTCATAATACTTTCTTATTTTAACCAATTCATCCTCTTGGGCTCTCTGTAATGAAATAAAAAACAAAACAAAATACCAAGAAGTGAACGGTAAAAATCTGTCTAAGGCAGTGGGTCTCTATGAGTGGTCCCTAGACCAGCACTATCAACATCACTTAGCACTTGTCAGAAGTGCAAATTATTGGCCTCATCCAAATAAAAGAAAGTGCAGGGCTTGGGTCCAGCAAATCCTCTAGGTAATTCTGATATACACTACAGTTTGAGAAGCACTGACTAAGGCAATGGGCAGCCAGACACAGAAAGTGGGACAGGCAATTGCTACTTTTGAGTCTTCTATAAGCAGATCTGGGCCAGTTGTCCTTAGTGTTTGCTTCCTTCCCCCCCGGAATAGCTCTCCTAATTTATACAGGCCTCCCACTCTATTATCTGAAGGCACCGTTTTCCTTTTTCTGGATTTCATAAGTTCTCATCTGTAGCACTTATTCTGGCATTTGGTCACACACACTCTCTCAATTTATCCGGCTACTTCATTCGCATACAGTTTCCTTTTACTGTGTGCTAACAAGTATCAGTCACGTGCATAGGCCTAAGCCCATGGAAACAACAGAAAGCATCTGCTAGGCACTTTACCTTTGACCCGATCCTCTAAAATCAATTATTATACCCTCATTTTACAGATAATCTCAGGGAAGCTGGCACTAACTCACTGGTAAAGGGCTTCTGACTCAGAACCCTCATTTCACCTACTATACCACTCTGTTCTCTACGTACTCAATGGATACATGATTAATTCCCAATGATCTGCTATGTGGGTGCCTATGGGTTTATTAATTAAAGTCTTATTGATGACACATGAGAAGTTCCTACCCAGCTGTACTAAATAGCTTCTGATATATATAATGTGAAGGTGAGTAGTGAGCCCGACAATTCTACAAGGCTCACGCTATTAGACTATGGAGATTAAAATGAAACATCCTTTAGCTGAGTAACCACAGCATACCATAGAGCCCAGGCAACTTTCTGGGAAATACCATTCCTCTAGAGACTCTAGTTCAATCTATGTTTTTGTATCTTAACAGTCAGTGAGCAGTTAAGAGTCATTGGAATTCTGACTCTCCAGTGTCATCTTAAGATACCCTGCATATTCTACTGGTTATTTCCAAATTTCACATCAAAAATCTTCTACGTGTACACTGTTATTTACTTTCAAAATACATTGCTATTGCTGCATGTATTGTACCAAAAAGACAGGAAGAGTCTCACTATAATCTAAATTGTACTGATGATCAAGTAGGTTTAACCAGTTTAAGTAAGGGGCCCAAGATCTCTCAGCAAGCAAAGACAGAGCGGGAGCTCAGGCCTTAGACTATCTGTCTCTAAATTCAAAACACACTCCTCTGTCCTACACTGCTTCCCACTTTCAGTGCCACCAGCTCGTTTGGACTAAGAATAATCAGACAAGCTGGTATTAACATTCTTATTCCTCAGAGGAAGACACTGGTGTGTGCCAACATTCAAAAGGCAGCTTACCTTCACTGACTCTGCTAGCAAGCAATAAAGCTGGGTTCCAGGACACACACGTGTTCTCCACCTTGAACCACGCTACCTTGGAGATGTGCAGTAAGATCTACCCACTCAGGTACCACGTGAGAGTCAAGAATCTATGCTCCTCTCACATCTGCTCCCATCCAAGCTTGCATCTTGATGCCTTCATTCTTCTAATGCTACATCAGAATCCTTACTACCAAAGAACATGAACGACTCCGGGACTTTTACGGTAAAAGGAAAATATGGAAACTCCAGCTCTATATGTCTGCAACACTTACATTTTCATATAAGGCCTCTAGGGTCTCCAGATCAACCACAGAGTCATCCACATTAAAAATGGCTGCCAAAAAGAAAAAGAAAACAAGATAAGGGATTTGATCAGCTTCCTGCACCAACAATCACTCCATCTCTAGCCATGCGCTACTGCACTTTCTTACACAGGTTGCCTCCTTTCAGCTTGTTCCTGCTCCCCTTCCTTTCTCACCAGGGGGCGCAAATGAAAGAAAGCAAAAGTGGTTTCTATCACTGGCCTGAGCCTGGGCTCTGCCTCATTTAATTCCTCTGCCTCTGGTCCTTTCTATGGTTTAATTTAGGCTCCACAGGGGAAGTGTTTGTGTTTTAAAACTAAATCAGTTTGTAGGTTTGAAGCACAATTTTAAATCTTTCTTCCCGGCTGGTAATTGAAGAGATTTAGCACCTAATGCACCAGAACTGACTCTTGCCCATTACCAGAAAGGGAAAGAGAAAAAAGACAATGTTGGCAAATTAAATGAATTCAGGCATGTCATTTTAGGCACCTTTCCACGGCCTCTGCAAACATCTTGTTTGGATTAAAAAGACAAGAAAGACCAATAATTGCATCAATGGCAAATTAAGATTACAGAAACCTCCCATGAGTCAGTCTTAAGGCAAGTTCTTATTCCCATGGTTTTATTATGATTCTACTTTTTGTTCTGTATCTTAAATGAGTCATGCAGCTGTTAACTAATATGCTTATGATTTTATCTGGAGAGGGGCCTTCCCCTATATGCTGGGATACAGACATCGAGATTTTAAAGCCTTAATGGATTTGGCTATCAAAGTGTTTGAAATTGGCAGGCCCACATCTTTAAATAATTATTCAAAACTAATAAGGTTTGTTCCCTCAGTCCTACCTCCCTTCCCTGACTTTACATTGTGAAATTAACTAGCATGCTAGTAAATTTTCTCTGTGGCAAGCTAATTAATTTTATTAAACCAACTGGCGATACTTAGAATGCCTTAAAATTTTGTTCCTCAGCTATTATTCTTTTCATTACTGTTATTCCTTGGTTTTGGACAAGTTAGGCAGCAAGGCAAAGGGCGGGTTGCTTGTGTATTGTTTTGCTTCTTCTGTAGTTTAAAATCATATGAAATCTTTTACAAGTTTAACAACTTAATTAACTAAGCTAAAATCATGTCACTTTATAGAACACTGAGAAATGTTAAAACTAAAATTTATTTGCAGGCCACTTTCTCTAACTAAGAGTTAAACAGTGAGCTACTCCTAGATATGTGGACAGTGAGAAGAGAAGTTTATATGCCAGTGACAAAGTAAGGCCCCTCAGACCTCAAAGACAAAAGAAAATTACACTTCTATAAAAGGGTAATATGAAGCTACAAAATAAAAATGTAGTTTGACAAAAAAATTCATCCACCTAGGACTAGTGTTTCATGTGTGGAGATAATATACATTCATTAATTTATCACATAGATCATACATTTAAAAATACCTTATACTTTAAAAAAACAGAAGCATACAGGAGTGTTGTCTATTTTATGTAAATCTTAAAATTCTCCTACAAAGATCAGCCCACATGAATGCACAAAAGATAAAATTCTAAAAATAATTTTTCAGAAATATTTGCTTTTAAACTATCATATAGTCTGGATAAGTAAAATGAACCAAGAGCTTAGCTCAATCTTCACTAATAAGAAAGAGAATGATCTGCTTCTTCCCTAGTGAGTAATATTTGTTTTTTAAAAGGTGATCAGCCTGGATCCCAGATACACGGTACAATGGGCTTTATTCCAGTTTGCTGGTAGCAGAAAGAAAATGCCTAGAAAGATGAGGACAAGAAATAAGCCTGGGTTTGGGAGACATTTATTCATTTGGTCACCTAGCCAGCCTTTCAAGAAATATTTGTGGAGTGCACCACCTCAAATCATATAGATATGATGTCAGAAGTTGCAATTCAAAGTACTTGATCTCATGAAATTTACATCTAGGAGCAGGGGACAGAAAATCAACAATACATGGTTTCAGGTATCAATATACTTAAAAGTATGTAAAGTAGAGAAATGCACATTAGATAGGGTGATCAAGGAAGGCTTTGTGGAGGAGGTGACATTTATATTAAGATCTGAAGAACTTGTTTTGTGACTATCTGGGAAAAGAACTTTCAAGGGGGAGGTAACTGCAAAACTTAAATTTCTTTTTTTTTTGAAGGAGCATATACAAAGTACAAAGACATAATGACTCCAATAAACAGCAAAATGTTCTTGCTGTGTGATGCTGACAAGTTAAAGTGGCTAGGCCTCACTGTATCTGTGAAACAAATCTCATACTACTTGCTGAAAACAGTAAGCTAGGAAATATATATGCTGACAGAGCACATAGAGCAAGGTATAAACTCAGATTGTACCTATGGTCTATGAGTATTATGACTATAAATATACATGCATATTATTAATGTGTTTTAATGCTTTCTCATGCCTTACTTTTTAACATCTAGAAAGCATCAGAGAAAGAAAACTACAACTACTAGTAACTCATGATAATAATGCAGATTTCCAGAATTCTTAGATTTTTCTGACAGGAACTGGTATAAAACTCTCTTGGCCCTTTAAGACTCTACTCCAGGCCCAACCTCAAGAAGTATCTTTAAGACAATAGATATAGGCACGAATAGCTCTGAATTGCAAAAACAAATGCATCAACTACCAGGGAATATAAGATAAACTGAATCTGTTGATAACAATAAAAATTAATCTAATTTTTTACATCTAATTCTAGTCTTTTTTACCAATTCATCCTTCATGATACTGCCAGTTATTTTTTCAAAACCCAAGTCTCAAGTTTTCACTATGTTATTTAAAACCTAGGACATATCCTTTATTTATTTTTTTTTTTTTTTGGTTTTTCTCCGGTACCAAGAACCGAACTCATGACCTTGCGCTTGCCAGGCAGGCACTTTGCCGCTGAGCTAAATCCCCAGCCCCAGGACATATCCTTTAAATGTGGGACAAAGTTCCACCTCCTTGGTTTGCTTTTGAATCCCATTCCTTCCCTGGCCGGAAGCTGCTCTTCTACTACCATCTGGCCACTTTCCTTCTTCATACACTTTGGGCTCTGGCCACAGTGTGCAGTGCTTCTTTCCTAAACACGCCCTGACGTCCTCGCTTTCCACATCTCATCCTTCCAGGCCCAGAGGTCAAAGGTTTTCTGCCCTGGAAGGACAGCCTTGACCTTTCCACAGATCATTAAATCCTCCATCCTTTCCTTCTGTACTGTGTCTTATATTTTACAGAGTGAAGACAGTATATTTTACAAGTCTCTACTATGGTAAGTTGTGTAATAGTTTCTCTCCCCTACTAGACTGTGAGAACCTTGAGCCGGGGACAGAGTCCGGCTAGATATGAGGAAAAGTTTCTTGACAAAGAGGACATGGAGTTGGCAAGAGAAAATGTAGAGACTCTGAGTGGTAATAGGATTTTGACAAATAAAAGCACTATATTATAGGGAGGGGACTATGCTTGAACTACGGTTGTTTGTTACTTCCCAATTTGTTCCTGTCCAAAAATCAGTGTTTAGTCAACAGTTATATAACTGTCTCCCACTCATCTAGTCAGTATGGGTATACTGTTTGTCTGAACATTCCCTAACAAAGATCAAGTTAACTCCACAAATTTTCTCATTATTAAAGAATGAATAGGAAAAAATATCTGTCATTATTACTACCCATCATTTTTACCTTCAAAAAATTTTACAAAGCAGGACCACCTTGGGAAAAATGTTAATAGTAAAAGTTCAGCTGGTACATTGCCTGCCTGCCTGCTTTGCCTGGCTTAGCTTGGCTTGGCCTGGCCTTTCCTGTCTCATCCCCTCCTCCCTTTCCCTCCCCTCCCCTTTCCTTCCCTTTCCTTCCCTTCTTTTCTCTTCTCTTCCTTTCCCTTTCTTTCTTTCCTCTCCACCCCCACCACTCCCTTTTTTGTTTGTTCTGCTTTTTTGTGATAGGGTTTCATTATGCAGTTCAGGCTGGCCTTGAACTCACTGTGTAGTCCAGGCTAGGCTGGAACCTGCAGTGGTCCTACTTCTCAACCTCCGAAGTTCTAGGATTACAGGTATGCACCACAACACCCAGCTTAGTACACTGCTTCAAACAGAGAGTTGAAACACACATTTGTCAGTCATCATTAATTAACCCAAACTCATTCCAAGCAATAACAATTTGTAAATTTAGAGTAAGAGCCAGTGAACATCAACTAGAAGGCTATGAGACACTCCATGCAAAAGGAGATGCAAACAGGCTTTGGCAATGATAGGTACTTTGGCTTGAAGAGAATTAATTAATCAGATTAAGGGAATAGGCTTCAAGGTTTAAGGAGAGACTGTGTAGCATTTTTATGTACTTGATGTACATTGAGGAATCACAGAAGAATTATGAGTAGGGAATATATTGAACAAAGTTGTACTGTACAGTTCAGGTCAAATTTCAAAAGACCAGTTTGGGCTGCAGTAGACAAAAGGTAGCAAAACTCTGAATCATGTAGACAGAAAGGAAGAAGGCACAAGAGAAAAACACTACAGATCACTTCCCGGTGGCATTACTAACAAGCTCTGGGGAATGAGAGAATGGGGAAAGGCTTTGCGCTGTTTCAACAGATGTAGGTAGAAGAGCAGAAGAGAGACCTGACTGTTGATCCTTCTCCCAGCACCTAAGGAGCAGAGAAGAAGGAACTAGTAAAGGAAAAGAAATTCATTTAGGACCAATGCCAACTTTTTACTCTCTCGCCTCTTCCACTCACAGATCTTAAACATGAAATTTGAAAAAACAAACAATTCAAAGCTAGAAGAAGCAATACCAAGAGATCAGCTGGTTGAGCCTAGAAACTTCAGGAAAATACACATAAATTATTTGTTATTTCTACCTTATAGAATGCCCAAGGGAGATGAGACTATTAGCCGTAGGTCAGAGAAATAAAAAGGCATAAGTCTTAGGACTCCTTAAGGAGTTGTCTTGCATGTACATAATTTTACCTCCTATTCACCAGATACAGGTCAGATTTCTGGGAGGCCAGAATTCTTACCTGATAATTCTA